ATTTTTTGCAGTGAGACTCACCCTCCTGCTTGTTTTTCCTAAACTAAGTAGGAGTTCTGGGTTACAAGTGTAGCAGATGATAGTTTTGTTCTGTCATCACCCAAATAAAATCAAAAGGGTTTATATTTTCCAGTAGTAAGACTATTTTTAAATAAAGTGTTTGTGAGGTACTGATTGATATACAAACATAAATGACCAGAATTATGGGCATAAGGTGTTTTTTCCCCTCCTTCTCAATATATTCACCACCCTCTCCAGAGAAAATGGCCTAGTTATTCACTTAAGATCACACAGCTAGGCAGAAATACTGTTGTACTGGGGCTTATCTTGAACCTGTTTTTAGAGTTTGGAACTAAATAAACAGATTTGCTTCATCAGGGAAGAATCCTGTTTTGTATAAAACTCATGGAAGGAGGCATTCCACAAGAGTCTACTCTCCCTTATCCGTTACCCTGCTAGAGAAATCATTTTTAGAATAATTTGTCAGTATGATTCACTGAAGTACCCATCTATACCAGATCACAAATCCCTCCCCAAGTCAGCCAGTTTTAAAACCAAACCAAACCAAACTTGAAAACCACCACACAAAAACAATCCAAACAATCTCTGGGGAGATTATGAAGTCTTCTTGTAAGGATCACCAAGATGCTAGGATAGCCAGAGTTTTGAATGTTTCAAAATCTAACTTTTTCATAAATATTTTTCATTTTTAGAGATTGGGGAGGGGAAGGAGAAAGAGAGGGAGATAAATATCAATGCATGCTGCCTCTTGCACACCTCCTACTAGAGACCTGGCTGCAACCCACGCATGTGTGCTGACTGGGAATAGAACTGGTGACCCTTTGGTTTGCAGCCCATGCTCAATCCACTGAGCTACACCAGCCAGGTCAAAATCTAACTTATTATACATATATCCCAGGGTAGTAAACAGGGCTCACACATTTAAGCTTTGAAGCTCAAACTTCACACACAGCTTGGGAAACCTATCTCTTTCCCACATGTACACATGGTTCCTCTTCTCCATGCCAAAATTTACTTCTACATAATCCACACCTAGTTTAACAGCTAGTACAATGTCTAGCTGGAATGCGGGAGAAATAATGTAAATAAAAGACATCTATCCTAGGTTGGAAATATTTATGCAGCAAGCTATCCTAAAGATTCTAAACAAGAATGGGATATTTTGCTCTATAAATGCTATCAATTTCTTGGAGATTCTGGATATACAGATGCACTGATCAAATTGGCCCATTCCTACTAATGCTAAAAAGAATTGGTCCATGTGTGTTAGAAAACACAAATATAGTTACTTTTCCCAACCCAAGTTTCTTGCCTGCTTTTGCTAGATTTTTAAAGATTAATGTGTTTCATTAATATGGAATGGGATATGATTTCTGATCTTGGGGCCACAAGTACTTAACCAAACTATCAAGCTATCTACATCAATGTATTATTTGAGACAGTTTTTCTAAGTATGATGTTTCCTTCTTGCATCAGATGAGTGAAGACTCAAAAGGGGGGAGGGGAAAAAGACAATTGTCAGTTTGAAAGTCACAGACGTTTATTTCTCTATAATTAGACTAGGATAAAAATGAAGAACCCACTGGTAGCAGGAAGAAGCAAGAGTCTTCTGGGTTCAGGCATCTGTAAGGAAGTGAGAAAAAAAGAATTTTTAGTTCCTTTTAAGACAAAGGCACTAACTACATATGATAATGGGCCACACAACTACAACCCAACTGAAATCCCTTCATTGCTGGAAGAATCTGCTGTTGTTAATAGCAGAATACCGAGTATCTTCTGATCCTGAGTTCTTTAGTACCACTAAGCACACAGAAATTTCTTAACTGAATTAAAAGCATTGTATGCAGAGATCAATGTACACTCCTTGTGTCAATAGTTTCATAACTTGAGGAGAAAATCAGAATTCACTATACAAGCAATTGACTCCTGCAGATAATTCTGGATTAATTTCAATTAAATTATATTAATTTTTTTCTTTTCATTCATGCTACTACTCATTAATTTAACAATATTTTTTGAGCTGTTACCATATACATTAGAACAAAAATTAATATTACCTGCTTTGGAGGTACTTATCTAGTAAAAAGTGGAGTTGTTAATAAAAACACAATTGGGATAACGCATACTGAGTACAAGGTGAACAAACCCTTTTCATGTATGTGCATTCAAAAAACTGTCCACTCAAAATTAAGTTCGTTGAGGGAATAAGTCATGTCTTCTATTTCTTTCGTATCTTTCCAAAGAAGCTAGAGAATTCTGCAACAATAGGCATTCAAAAAATGATACTTTATTTTTACTAAGAGGGTAAGAAGTCCTGTGGCTGTTTAAGGATTCTTTTAAAAATATTTTATTTATTTATTATTTTCAGAGAGGGGAAGGGAGGGACAAAGAGAGGGAAAACATCCTCAACTGGGGATCTGGTCCACAACCCAGGCATGTACTCTGACTGGGAATCGAATTGGCGAACTTTTGGTTTGCAGTCAATTCTGAGCAACACTAGCCAGGGCTGTTTAAGGATTCTTTCCTAACGTAGGATAACTTCCCCACTTATTTCTCAGGGGTTACACAGAAAAATTAATTTTCAGCATTTAAGGAGTTTAACAGCAAAGAGTTAAGTTTCAAAGGAGATGAATGACTTTTCTTAAGTGATAGAGATAGAAATTTCTCCTAGGCTTTCACCTTAAGAATAGTTGTTTTTAGTTACCTAGTAAAAACGTTTACTAGGTAACTATCCATGTTATAAGAGTGCCAAGCATTTTGTACAGTGCGTCAGAGAAGGATTCAAAGATCATGATTTATCCAGATCTGTGTGTGCTTTCCTGACACACCCCAGTGCTATTGTGTCTCTTTCCCTTCTGGGGCCAAATGCAATTTTATGCCTTCCTGATGTATTTAACAATTTCAAGTCAGAAGCTACCAAGGAAAATGGCCAGTACCTGGAAGCAACTGATAGTTATTTTCCATAGCTAAGGGGTGTTTGCTTTTAGAATCTCTTTTCCACTTCTCACCAGAAGAAACATCAATTTTGGTACAAAATGAACCCTACCTCACAGAAGATTCATCTAATTCACTGTCCAGAGGAACTGAATGAACTGGAAGGCAACAGGGCAACTAGTCATTCATTCACTAAATATTCACTGAAGGCTTACTATTTCCAAGATGGTGGGAGATAGCCCTGGCCAGGCAGCTCAGCTGGTCAGAGTGCTGTCTGGATATGCCAATGTTGAGGGTTTGATCCCCAGTCAGGGCACATACAACAATCAACCAATGAATGTATAGATAAGTGAAACAACAATTTGATGTTTTTCTCTTTTGCTCTAAAAATCAATAAATAAAATTAAAAAAAGATGGTGGGGAATATAATTTCATTTCTAGTCTTTATAATAATATTCCTTTTGTCAGGAGCAATGTGGTTGGCAGCCTCAGTCAACACAGCATTTGAAGTTTCAAACTGTCTCTGCTATGGGTACACAGGGTAACCTCGAGGAAAGGCTTTTCTGTGAAAAGTAAAAGATTCTGCTCTCTTTATACAGATTTTGTGAGGTTCTGTTAAATCAAATATTCAGATAAGATCATAGTGCAAGACTCTCAAGACCCAAAACTTTTAAGTGCTCATTAAGAAGAGTATGAATTTTTTGATGTGTTAGATTATACTGCACAGGGAAAGAATTGCAGAGCAGTGAAGCATAGCTGTTTGATTAATCTCAGTCCATTAAAGAGACATGATAGACCTAGAATGCAACTTTAATAAAAAAAAAAGGAAAAGAAAAAGGAAAAAGGCATTGTGTACTAATTCTAGGGAAAGCAACTTGGCATGTTAACTGAATTCTAATTTAACCCGTAAATGCCTATTCATTAGCATGTAAAGCCATAACAGAAGCTATATAATATACTTAAAAAACATAGGCACACACAAAGCTTTAATTTGGTACCATAATCTGAAAAAAAAATTGGATCCAAATTGTTTTATGTCCAGTTAAATATTGCTACCATCTGAAGAGATAGTGAAATAAAACAAACACTTACTTGATGAGATACTCAGTTACTGTGCATTTCCATCTACAGAGTAGAAATATTTCAAAGTAAATATACTACATCAATTGAAATTCACTGTATCTTTTATTCTTACTAAACACAAATGACTTATTATGGGGCATAGTGAATCACAATATAAAAGTAGAAGTATTTAACATTAGTGATTGGATTCTACTCAACAGCATGAGAAAAGAAAATAGTCCTTTACCTATCAAGACTTTTGGCATACAATTTGGTGATCTCATTTTTTTTGGGAAGTCTCCAAAGGGAAACTTTTTAAAAGGAAATCCTCTAGCCACTGAAAATTAACACAAACAGTAGCAAAGACCAAAACCAAGGGAATCTGAATTTAGGGGCAAATTTAGGAAAACAAAATTTATATTAAATGACAATATCTTGGGCGTTCCATATGTGGTAATTTCTTTACCAGGGTGGTATGATACAAATTTAGTATCTGTTTGCTCAGCATGGTCTCTGATGTCTAGGGAAGACAATTTAAATACTATTTTTATGTTGGTTCTTATGACTCATAACTTTCGTGTTCTCTTTATACATTTCCTTTTAGGCCCCTGACATCCAATTTCTAATCCCAATCCCTATTGATATTATGCCTTGCAAGTCAGGGATAATTTCCTCCTTGCCAAAATCAGTAGTCTTTTAATGGCCCCCAAATTTACTCATGATATTTGACATTAGTGGTCACCCCATCATGAAAATATTCCTTTGGTTTCTGTGACCTTGTATTTGCCTGTTCATAATTTCCTGTTACTAACCAGGGCCAGCACTAGGGTGAAGTGAGTGAGATGCTTAGGGTACAAAATTTAAGGAGATACTCACTCTTAGGCTTATGGAGGGGCAAGGTGTTCAGACTAAACATGTCTTTGAATATCAAGGCTAATCTATTCATTAGCACAAAGAAAAGAACAAAAGCATTTTGTCTCATTTCACTTACTGTTTTTCCATGGCAGAACATATGGCAGAGACTTGGGAACGCGCATGCCTGAAGCTAGGTTACTCTTATGTTCCATAACTAGGTTGCTTGCAGGGCTGCAGAAAGAAAGATAAATTTGACCATTCCAGCATATCTGTATTTTTTAGGCAGGCACACAATACAATCAAAATGTGTTTTTGTAATATGGGGGAAAACAACAACCTACATTGTGAAATGTAAACACATTTCCATCATAACATTCTTGCAATTAGAATGATTACCATTTCTTTGGAAAGCTCACTATTCTGGTACAGGCATTAAGATAGGTCTAAGCATTTTCATTTCCAGAAATTGAGATAAGCAGCAATGCCATCTACTGTTCAGTTGTATGACAGGCTCATCAACTCACTCAATAAACGTTAAGAGATAAAATCAAATGCGAAGACTATCAAACCAAAGGCAACAAATTTCACAGAACTGAGGTAAAATTAAAATTGTACCAATGAAATTTACCTTTTTTCTACCTTAATACACACACAAAATAAGGTACACTTACAATTACTAACTGACCTTAGGAGCTAAGAAATGAAAATTGGTAAGTATTTTATTTAGAGAAAAAAAATGAAGTGTAGCATTACATTCCTTCATTGTCTTTTTGTTTCTAAAAATTTTATTGTTGACACTATTACAGATGTCCCCATTCCCTGCTCCTTTTTCCTGCCTCCACTCAGCCCCTGATCCCCTTTTCCCTGTGGCATAATCACGCTGTTGTGTCTATGGGTTTTGCATATATGTTCTTTGACTAATCCCTTCACCTTCTTTCATCCAGTACCCCCTTCTTTCATTTCTAATCCAGAAATATACTCATTTGGATTTTAAATGTGATCTTCTATGGTTTGAAGATCAAATAATAATGAGAAATCTTATACATTTAAAAATTATATGCAAAATCAGTGGGAATTTTCTTCCTTACCCAAGAGGTATTCTGGATTCCCCAATTTCAAATAGAAAAGTTTTGTTAAAAAAGATTTTATTTTCAGAGAGTGGAGTGGGAGAGAGAAAGAAGAGGAGAAACATCAATGTGTGAGAGAAACAATGGTTGGTAGACTCTTGCATGTCCCCAGCTAGGGATCTGGCCCACAGTCCAGGCATGTGCCCTGACTGGAACTTAACCAATGACCTTTTGGCTCAAAGGTTGATGCCCAATCCAGTGGGCCACATTTGAGCCCAGCTAGGGCTCAAATAAAAAACTTTTAAGATTACTTTTTCCTTAGATACTAGTTACCAAGAGTAAAAATGATCCACATGTATATAGCTAGAGAATTTCTGAAAGCATGAAAATAATATGAACCTAGCAAAAAACCCAAGTAAGACATAAGAATGTCAGCACCACTGTTTCCTTTGCTAGACTATATGCTAGTATTTTTGTGTTCCCAGTGATTAACATTAAGCATGTGACCTTTTTATGAATCAAGGAAGAAATAAGAAAAAAAAATCCACCAAAACAGTATCTAGACTAAGTCACTATCAAGTAACATCATCAAGGAAAGAGGTCAATTCATGCTCTGGTGACTTTTTTTTTTACTTTTTCTTTTTCTTTTTTAACAAAGCACTCTGATTTTGGGAGGCAGTGCTGGGACTGAGACCATTTCATTTACCTGTTCTTGCCACAGTAGTTGGCTGTGCCCCAAACAAATGGGGTGCTGGTCTGTTCCCACAAATCTGCCAAAGGAAGCGAAACATAGTCTGTGTTACAAGATACCAGCACATGTAAGTTGAATTTGTAAGATGGAAATAATACATCTAAGTTTAGAGAAGGAAGTAAAAATTGATCAAGTACCCTGCCTAAGTGACACAGAGGCAGGAATTTAATCGAAGGATATAAACACAAATGACATAAATAATAATAAATGTGCCTAGTAACAGCCAAACACAGATGGTATAACACAATTTATAGAAAAAAAACAGATGTAAAAGAAGTGCTTTTTCCAATCAAAAGGCATAGGCTGTTCCATGTGTCTGCACAGCAATAAAAATGTGCTTGTTTTGGGGCCCAATAAATATAAAAAAGCATTCCAAACATGGTATGTTTATAAAAAGGAAAATCTTCCTTCTCTCTAAAGTAAATGCCTTGAGATTTAGATATTATAAAGAATAAGATGCAGAAGCACTTACCTTTATCCCAATCTTCTTCACAAGGAGGGCACTGCCAGGTGCTCTCAGCCAGAGTCTCTTGTCCAGGGTTTCTGGTTTGGTTGACTGCAAGACAATAGAGATTCCAACATAAGGACAGGACATTGCTAAATTATGTTTAAAGGGGTCAGTGCTAAAGAGGCTGCAGGGTAGCCTAATGGGTCTTTGTTCTTGAATGGTATGGAAGATAAACAGAGGTGGTCTTATGTCCTTGCTGACATACATGAAAGAGAAGCAGAAACAAAGATGTTTATCATGTTTATGCCAATAAAAGGATTTTTACAGTTAGATGAATTACTAGTAAAATGAATCAGATTGTTTAGAAAGCATTCTGAAAAACAACCTGACAAACTTTTCCTGCTGAAAGCATTGTTCTTAAATGGTGAAAGGCAAAAATCAAGGTGACAATGTAGCATAATACAAATTTAAATGGGCTAACCTCTAGCACCTTAACATTTTAACTAGTCTGTCTTACCAACATCTTGCTCTATACAACTTTTATCATCACAGCTTGAGATATGATGACTGATTTCAGCCCGAGGAACCTGATGGCGAGCATTGAAGGGACAAGTAGCCAATTTGTTTGCGACATCAGGATGATTCTGTGGAATAAAAATTAAGGGTTCTGTCAATTTTGTGGACCTCTTAAAAGTCCAAGAGGAGTTTATCTCCTCTCAACTTTATCTATAAATGGCTTCCCTAAAATCTCTCAAAATTTGTGGCTTAGTTACAATAGGTAAACTCATAGTAGAATATTAAGAAGAAATTACTTATCACTCATATAGACCATATAATACCTCAAAATCTTCAAGATGTTAGCCTCTTTGTTATGATTGCAGAGACTAACAACACAGATAATGGGGTTAAACTGGCTTATATGGAGGTAAACAACAAATTTAGAATTGAGTATTTGAACCATATTTTCCTCTGTTCTTCAGGGTCACGAGATTCAGGTGGCACAGCATGTAATGGCAGAGCTCTCTGGATGGCTTTGAAAGCTGATATTCAGGATGAACAGTAACACTAAGTCTGCACTGCAGCAGTGCTCCTGTTATTGCAGTACAATAGAGCTGGAAAATAACTGTTAGAAGGGAGCTGCGGAAGAAGCAAACCAATGATTTTTCAGATTAACACAGGAATGTTTATTTAAAGCAATGATGCCTGAAATGAAGCTCTGAACAATTTGACCTTTATTTCAGTTATTTCACTAAGGAAAAGCCCAAATGATCGAGTCTACTCTGCTGACCAAGCTCCTTACTTTAAAATAAAACAAAGTGTTTAATGTCACTCAAATCTTATGGTAAATATACCAGAAATTAAGAAATTTGTTTACTAGGAGAAGCAAAAGATATATCAAAAATAATACTCAAAAGAGTTAAAGATAATGTGAAATGGGAAGAAGACTGGAAAAAATAAAGGATGGAGAAAACTGTGAGGGCATTTATCTCCATGATTCCATAAGGGATATCAGGCATTCCAATGCACAGGTTTTGTGGCCAAAGATGAAGAGCTTCATAGAAGAAGGGGGTTATGACAATGTTTTCACATTGCTTGGCTCCCTTTCCCAACCTTTATCCTGGACATGTTTGAGGACCTAGGGAAGGAAGTTGTGGTGGTATCTTCTGATCCACATTGTTCAGATTCACCCTTCAGGGATCTTTGCTCAAAAGATTAAAAAGAGGTGGAGAAATAATAACAAATGACATTATAATCATATCTCCAGGACTGCAAGAGAAACATCCTTTAAAAGATATTAATGCATACATAAATTGTATGCAGCTTGGATTAAATACCAAAATTGTTTTCCAAGCATAAATCCTGGCAGAACTTTGGGCTCTATCTGACACCTGCACTCTAATAATCTCTTCAAAGTGCCTCAGTTAATATACCAGCATTAAAGCAGTTTACATCAGCTAAGTCTACAAAAGAATGACCAGAAGAGAAACTGAGTTGTTTTTTCTCCCACTCAAAGATGCTTAATGTTGAAATTTGGAAAAACAGTTATTTTTAGGAATAATCTTTTCTTGGGATAACCTCTAACTGTTCAACTTCCCTAAAATTTATAACCAAAAATATCAGGAAACAATGTATTATAGATTCAATCCTTAACAGGACAATGAACACATCTAATTCACAAGGCAAGAGAGATTTTTCTCACTGCTAGCAAAAATTAGGATTTCCTCTGTTTTACAAAGGATGAAAAGACTCCAGAGGAGCTGTTTATAAATGGGTGCTTGTCCCAAGTTGGGGTGTGGGGGTGGAAATCAAAACAGGGAAAAAGCTTATGTACCCAAGAAGTAAACAAACCTCTTTCTAGAAATGTTGGTATTTAATACAAAGGTAGATTCCCTAAACTATTCTGACATTCAATTGAAACATTTATGCTAAAATTACTTGATATTTACACAAGATGGCTTTTTAAAGAACTCAAGAGGGCATTACAGGGAAAATTATGAAAATAATACCCTACCTTTTTGCACTTGATAAGATGATAAGGAAACCTGCAGGCCCTGATCTGGTGGTTTTTGTCATAGGGACATTGTAATAGCTTTTCAGGATCCAGGGAATCGACTGAAAGAAAGAGAAATAGGGTAAGTATAAAGCTTAATAGGTCTTTGGAAAACTACAGCATTCCAGGCACTTTATATTTTCTACAGAATCTGTAACAATAGGATAAGACAGTCTGACAACAATTTGGAATTTTAAACAAAGGGTGACTAAACATTTAACACTGAAAATGTAACCCTGAGAAGATAAAATTGTGTTATCACCAAATCTTAATTCAGGCAAAGCCAGCAATCATGGGATGAGGTCTTAGTTCATATTTGGTTTAACTTAAATATTGCTGTTTTCACCGTTGGTTACCCTCACTATAAAACAAAAAGTTAAATGAAGTGACATTCTCTTTTCCTTTTCTAATAAGTGCTAATTCAGGGTCATTTTTATTCTAGTTACCCCAATCAGAGCTTCCCAACCAGTATGCTGAAGGTTGGAATAAATGGTGTGCCAATTTATAGATGCAGGGGTCCACTACACATGTACCCCCAACGCCTACCAGTCCTAGGGCAAGTTAAGGATAGTTAATCCTCTTTACCAGCATCCTTGGCTATTTGCTAATATGCTGTGACATGAAAACAGTTGGTAAGCACTGCTTTGTATCAGTGATACCGTCTATGGAAGATTGAGAAAAATTCATTGATAGATGGCTTTTTCATCTGTCGGCTTTAACTTATCACAAGTATTTCCTGATCTTGGTTACTCTACCTCTCAAATGAAACCAATGCCTTTATCAGATAGGTGCTTTTTTTTAAAAAAAAGATTTTATTTATTCATCTTTGAGAGAGGAGAAGGGAGGGAGAAAGAGAGGGCGACAAACATCAATGCGAGAGAGAAACATTGATTGGTTGCCTCTCACATGATCCCCTTGCAGGGATGGAACCTGCAACCCAGGCACGGGCCTTGAGTGGAAATTGAACTTGCAACATTTCACTTTGGGGACAATGCCCAGCCAACTGAGCTGCACTGGTCAGAGCAATAGGTGGTTTTACTTTTCATATTTTGACATAAATAAGGAAGAAAACCCCAGAATTTTTTAATTTAGTGATTCTCAAAGTTAGCAAATTAAAAAATAGAATAATCTGCAAACACAGAACCTCCTGAGGTTAAGACAACTGCAGACATATGAAGCTGCTGTGTGAAAGAATGCTCCTAACCTATATCATGCTATTTAAAACTATCCTTGGAAGGGTATACTTTCAGGAATTATTTCCATAGTTTGGAACCGGAGATTTCTCTGAAAGTATCTCTTAGAGAAGTTTCTCTAAATGTGTAAAACTATCCTTAGGCTTTACAAGATGCCCAGGCTGAGCCCCGAATTTTAACAAGCCTGGTTAAGGAAGGGAAATTAAACAATTAAACACATTCTCAGTACATTATGATAAGAGGCAACCTAATAAAATGCTTTTGCCCCCATTGAAGGCAATGATAAAAGTGAAATAAGATAAACAATTCACATTGATAGGAAGCTTATAAACCAGGAGACTGCTATGAAAATCAGAGGCTAGTGGGGAATTGAAACAGTTTCACTGGAAAAGTGGTAAACATGGAATAAATTGCTAACCATGATCGTGATGCAAATGAGCCTGAAAGGTGACCCGAAGGACAGAATGAATAGGGAAAAAACCTTAGAGGACAGGCAGGCTTATTATGCCAACAAGGCACATCCTGACCAGCAGTCTTTTCCCATTTCTGAAGCTTCAGGATACCCAGAGAGAGTTTACAGATGAAATTCTTATTATTTTCTTTCATCACAAGCAAATGTTAGGCCATGTCAGCAGCTGATGGAATGGATGGACATACCTCATGATTCATACACACTGTACTGCCTGGACACACATCAGAGTTAATAATAATAGTTTCCTACCATAATGCTTTACATTCTGGTCTCTAGTAATTTAGGTCAGCTCTAACCTGTTTTTTTTAGATTAAAACATTTTTATTTTATTTTTAATTAAAAAATTTTAAATTGTAATAAAATATGTACAACATAAAATTTACCACTGTAACCATTTTTAAGTGTACGGTTCAGTAGTGCTAGGTATATTCATATTGCCATGCAACCAACCTCCAGAATTTTTTCATGTTGCAAAACTGAAACTGTATATCCATTAAACAACTCCCCATTTCCTCTTCAATCCAACCATGGCAACCATTGTTCTGTTTCTGAGTTTGACTAGTCTAGATACTTCATCACACAATGAACTCATACAGTATTTGTCTACTTGTGACTGACTTATTTCCCTTAGTATAAGGTCCTCAAGTTTTCTTCATATTGTAGCATGTGAGGGATTTCCTGTACCTACTTTTGCTATTTGCTTTTTCAAAAAAATGTCTTGGCGCTCCTTCTATGTCAATACATATAAGGAATATTTCATTGCTGCAAGTGGATGTACCATAGCTTCTTAATCATTTCCCTTCCTGATGAACATTTAGGTTGTTTCCAGTTATTTACTATTATAAACAATGCTGTGACTAACCATCTAGTATATACTTCTTTGTGTATTGTATGAGTATTTGCCTTTAGCAAATACCTAAGAATTCTACATTAAAGTATATGTGCATTTAAGGTTATAATAAATACTATCAAACTGCTCGGCAATAATGTTGTCTGGCTTTAGGAATATAAATTAATTTGGAAAACAAAATAGACCCTGAGGATAAGCTTCCTCCCAAAGAGTATATATGGATGTTCCTCACACTTGGGTGGGACCAAGAACCCATGGTGAGAAATGGAGGAAACCTGGTGAAAATAAGGAACCAGACCTGACAAAAATATCATTATCTAAGAGGTACAGCCCAAAGACAGAAGCTGAAGATCTTCAGGAATCTATCAGATTAAGGTTAGAGTTTTGGGCCAACTTGGAAAAAGGTTAAGTATATTCTAAATCAATGCTGCTCAAAATTTAACATGATCCCCAGGTGTTTAACTTCTTGGAGACTGTGTTAAAATGCAGATTCTAGCCCTGGCTGGCGTAGCTCAGTGGATTGAGCGTGGGCTGGGAACCAAAGTATCCCAGGTTTGATTCCCAGCCAGGGTACATCCCTGGGTTGCAGGCCAAAACCCCCAGCAACCGCACATTGATGTTTCTCTCTCTCTCTCTCTCTCCCCCTCTCCCTTCCCTCCCTAAAAATAAATAAATAAAATCTTAAAAAAAAGATAAAAAAATGCAGATTCTGACTCAGAAGATCTGGTATGGGGCCTGAGATTATGCATTTCTCACACATTCCCTGGTGATTTTTTTTTTTTTAAATTATGGCTGAAAAAAGTAACTAAGAATGAGAGACATAAAGGGGATCTGAGATGCTGCTTGCTAATTTAATAGAGAGTAGAAAGCTTCTGAGGATAAATAAATCTATCTCACATAGGAATTTCAGATTTTAATGAAGACATTTTAAGAAAAATTAAGAGGGTGGGGAGGGAGCTCTAGGGAAGAACTAGGAGAATCAGCCTTCTAGATCAATGATTCTCAAAGTGTGGTCCTCAAATCAGCAGCATCACCTTAGATCATGTTACAAATGCAAGTTTTTGAGTCCCAGACCTTCTCAATCAGAAATTCTGGGGGTGGGGTGCAGCATCCTGGGTTTTAATAAGCTCCCCCAACTACCACTGCCCCCAGGTGATTTTGCTGCATGTTAAAGTTTGAGAACTTTGTTGTATGTATTTAATAAAGACTATTTCCATGTAGTTTCCATATGTTGGTGATAAAGATTCTATGAGACATTTCCTTGAAGGCAGAATGCTCCTAAGGGACTAAAATATCCCTTAGCTGGAACTTATTAATTATAAAGAGATCTTGAATAAGACTGCAAAGTAGGAAACAAAGTAGGCCCTGTTGACAAGTTTCACCTACTCATCAGTTCTGATGTTCTTCAAACTTGGTTAGGGCTTAGAAACCAGAGTGCCTTGTGGTATCAAGTTGTGCATGCCATAAGTACAATGTGTAAAACTCTGGTTCTCCCTATGTTATTAACTAACTATGTAACTCTAGGCAAATCAATTAAATGAGGTTTTGTTTTCTCAGTGTAAAATATGAATGTTAAATGAAGTGATTTTTCAGGGCTCTTTTGGTTCTACACTTGTGTGATTCTAGTGCTGGCTCTTTTTTGATTTCTTAGGCCATCTAAGGTTCCTGGATCACTTGAGAAATAAGAATCCTCCCTAGGATTTCTTTAATCCTAAAATTCAATCTATATCAGCAATATTATGTATACCATATTATCCCTTAAAATAGAAAGAAAACAGGTTACTATACCTGTGTCATTAACAGGAGAGAAGTACTGAGGAATTAAAATGCTTCATTTAGTAAAAATCTATTTTGACATGGGTGTCCCAATGCAGCCTTTTCAAAGCTTGATGACTTCTCATTCCTCTTTAGCCATTTAAATTTCAAGTATCTTATTTCAAATTTGGGTACTTCTCTATACTACTATCGCACAGATAATAACATAGAGAAGTATTCTATATTACTTCTAGAGTAATATAGAAGTACTACTCCTCTCCTCAGCATTTCTCCTCAGCATATAGGAGAAATGTGAACCTTTGCCACACATTAACAGTCCTGTCAGACATAAAACTATATGTAAGTTAACATATTCTAAAAGCAATCAGAAGTACATACTGTAAGTTTCTTCCATGTTGGTAATGAAGGAGCTGAATCCAGGTGCTGTGGGGGGGAAAAACAGTGGTTCAAGGTTTCAGAAATAAACTGTACCTAAAGGTGGCCCTAAGAGGTAGAGTCAAACTAGAATTGAAGCTACCCAAGTTCAATATAAGAAACCCTTAGTAAAGAGGACACAGACAACAATGTGGTGATTGTAGAGGGGGAAGGGGATATAAGGGGGATACGTGGTAATGAGAAAAAATACAATAAAAATAAATTGGAAAAGAAGAAACCCTTAGTGACCTCCTCCCTCAAATATTTTCCCCCTAAAGCATTTCAAAATCACTGCTTAATTCACACTCTTAGAATAAATTCTAGGGCTCCTAAATAGTTAAGAATAACCACATACAACTAGTGATTTAAACTGTATTGAGGTGATGTCAGTTTACTTTTAGTGCTATTACAATGGCCAGTCACTGTTTGCCATCTATTAAGGTTTGGTGCTACTTAACACAAGAGAGGGCAAATGAAGACAAGAAACTTCAGGATAAACATATAAAAAGGGCATAATTTTAAAGCTCTTTTCTCAAGTTATACAGCATGGAAAGGCTGCCAGTCTTTCTCCCCCCTGGCACTTGGGAATGCTGGAAGCCTATGTGAGACTTCATCCATCCAATATGCCCAGAGACATTCTAGCCACACTTCTTCCAATGACCCTTCACCTCCCCTCCGCCCTGCCCCCAATCTCCTATGCTAAGATGGATAGACTTGGTTATTTAATTTCTCCAGTTAACAGACATTCTCTCTAGACATCTAGGAAAAACTTCTGAACATTAGGACTTAAGAGCTGCCCAATTTATGGATAATAGAATCATAAAAGAACAGTTCTGTAACAAAAATGTGGAAGATTAAAAGACAAGAAATGGTTTTGTAGTTTCAATTTTCTTCTATTGGAGATTTCCCCCTATTGAGTACTATGATTAAATAAACCTATCATTATAGAAAAAAACCCTAAATTTATACAAAACCCTCCCCATAAGAAACTTCTGAAAATTGACTAGATTTACAGTTATTGTCTCTCTCTAGAGCAAGCTCTCCTTTGGCCTCTCATACAATTCCACACCCCTTCCCCCCATTCTATGACATAAGCAGCCTTGGAATCCATGATAGAAAATACAAGTGACCAGCTGGAACCCTAGTTTAGTAATTTGCTGCAGAACCCATTTGTTAATTACAATCATTATTGAAACTGTCATATATATACATATTTAATATCTGGACTAAGAAATCTGACCTTCCTTTCGGCTTGTTTTTTACTTATACATAGTCACTTTATACTTTTTTCAATAAGAATAAAAGAGGTTTGGAAGGAAGAATCAAATGCAATGTTCTTTGATTTTAAGGCATTTAAAGGAATGATCAGCGCTAAGATTCAGCAACTTGTAGGATACCACTGTCTCCTTTGGGGGCAAAAAGACTAAGTGGAGTAGATAAAAGGCACTGGGATCCATAGCCTCATCAGTCAGTGTTGTCCCTTTAAGTCTTTTCCACATCAAACTGTTAACAGGTGATCTTTATCCTTTCCCTAGTACTCGGTGAAACGGACAAATTACACACACCATTTTGATTTGGGAGCTGAATGTAGTCTGAAGCAACTGGTTAAATTCAACAGGGCTGAGGGCCCCAGTAAAATAGTTTTTCTCTCTTTAAAAAGAACACTCAGAGTAGATTTAAGCTATGGAACTAAACCGGAGAAGAGGTGGAGGGTGGTTAACCTGCAGGCAAAGGGGCTGGGAAGGAGCCTCGAGGGGTCGAAGCTCCGGAACCGTCAGTAGCCGCAACAGCGCGGTGAGAACCCACCCGGCAGAAGGCTATGGGCTTGAAAGGGAGGATAACAGTTGGCGAAGGTACCCCAGCACCCTAAAGGGGAGTTGTTTGGATACCGCAAGCCAGGACCAGGCAGTCTTTCCCACCTGAGTCAAAACACGCTCTCCACTCAGTCGCCTCCAGCCCACTGCGGCGCCCTAGCAACGCTCACTTCCGGCTCCCGGCCCCTGACGTTAGGGGGTGAGGGGCGTTAGGGGGCCCCCCGGGCCCCCACTTCCTGTGATGGAGTCTGGGCTGCGTGGGCTGGAGGCGAGGGCCTGGGCCTCCGGAGCCTTCGCTTTTCCCGCCCTTCGGATTCTCCAGGCCACTCCCCTCCTTTCAGACCCATTCTCTTTCAGCCCATCCTTTGGCCCCAAGAACGACTGAGGCCTTGCGCGGGTGGAACTCGCGCGGCCTGCCCTGTGCTTTGTGGCGGCCATTTTAGAAAAGAGAACGAGGGGCTTGGAAATGGGCACTCCAGGAGGGAAGGGGGCAGTTAGAAGTGGGGCACTGGCTGGGAGGGAGCCTTTTTTGTGGAAAGTGTCCAGATTGTAAGGTAATTGAGCTTTAGAGGAAAATTGTAAAGGAGATAAGCAGGCAGACCCGCCAAACCAAGCAAAACAGCAATCACCAAGGACAGGGTTCTAGTTGGTTACATTGAGCACATGTAGAATCTCAAAATTTCGAAAGCCATTAATAGCTCTTGAGAATGCTTAGCAGAACGGATGCCCTACTTGAATTAAAGGGAGTTATAGAGTTGAGGGGAGCACTCAACGAAAAGAGTTGGAGAGGTAAAGAGGGTCAGAAAGTTATAACTTGATATTGAAAACCTAAACATTTATTATTGTGAGCCTTTGCTATGGGAACGGATACCAAAAAAAAGTGTAAGTAGTAGTTGTCCCTAAAGTGGTTAGGCAAACAGGCCCCACGTGGATGGAAGGTTAATTGGAAATACAAGAAATGCCAAAGAAGTGGTCCAGACTATAAATTCATGTTAGAAAGAAATCAGTGGGGCCCAAAGTGACTGGGGAAGGCTTTAGGGAGAAAAGGGACGTGTGACCTTTGAAGATTAGACAAAAAGAAAAAAAAAAGGATGGTGTTGATACTACAGATAGATCTGGTGATGTTATTTTTCAAAGCTAAGAAGTAGAATTGCGATATGACAAAAATTTTTGTACTGTCCGAGGTATAGGTGATCATTCAGTATGTGAGATCAGTCTGGGTGCTGAAATACTGGATTTTGGAACTTTTCCTTGGTTAATAGAACCTAAATGTGACTTTGGAGAATCCATCCTGAAAGCAAGAACTGAATGGAGCTTCAGTGAAAAGTATCATGAGGGGAAGATAGGAGACTTTTAATTTTTACATTAATAATTTGTAAACAATTTTTAAATCAGTCCTTGGACTGAACAGAGTGTGCTCCACAGCCTTTGATTCATACTAAGATCTTAAAAAGAAATGTGTTAATGAAGCTGGGCTTAAACCATTCTTGTTAGACTGATGGTTCTTGCCTGTGCATTAGAATCAACTGGAGTGCTTTAAAGACATACTATGCCAATTTTCCATCACGTAGCAATTAATCAGAAAGGGCTGAGCATAGCTATTTTTAAAAAGCTACCCAGATGATTCTAATGTGCAGTAAGAGCTGAGGGCCACTGACCTAGGCACTGCTTTGCATTTACAAAAGCTGTTCTTTCACCTGGGTGCCCAAGATGATTCCTGTGAAGCAGCAGCAAGCTGTTAAAGTGGTTCTTGAAAGATAATTGCTAAGAATAAAAGCTTCAATTCAGGTTTAGCACAAAGCATTTTAGAAAAAGCGGCTGTTTTGGCAAATCAGTTTTAGAGTGTTAGGAATATCCTAAAGTAATCCTTACGAAATCCTAAACCTCTGAATTTAGCACATCATTCATGCAGATTGGTGGGGCCAGTGTGACTTGAAGCAAAATGTGATTTTGTTTTAGGCTTTTAAATTGCAGTACTCTGGTGAAAATGTTGACACTGTTACTGTGACCTATAAGTACTTTTCATTTAGACACCTGCAGATCGAAATTTCTCAGGAAGAAAGAGCTAAGTGCTTGAGAGGATGGGGAGTGGGTACCAAATCAGAATCTAAAGTCAGACTCCACTGTATTCAGTAATGCCTTGTTAGGGTGAGAGGATCCTCAACTGATAAAGCCATTCTATATAGCAACAGTAAACAAGCCCACCAACTTTCAAAAAATAAAAATAAAAACTCAAACTGTGTTTCAGTGGAGATTTTAAAATAAAAATGCACCACACGTTTATTCTTTGTATTCTAAAATGCTTTATTTCTTCCAACAAAGGAGGTTCCTGCTTTATCTGAGATCCTTGCTGAGCTTTCTTTCAGACTTTTTTTTTATAAAGCCAGTTTTATTATATTTGAAAAGGAAAAAGCAATGAGAGACAAGGCATTTACACAGGGTCATTCTAGGAGCTAGCTGGGATTAATACCCTAAACTGAACCTCATCTGTGGTGGTTCTGTCTGGTGATAATTCTAACATTGTATTTCAGAATTAATAATTACTAGTTAAAAACAAAGACTCTGGACTAATGAGTAAAATGACAGATCTCTACCGTAGTGATTGGAAAAAACATTGTTAGCAAATCAGTTTTCTCAGCTTTTAGAATTGAAAGAATTTCAGTAGTCTTTGAGATTCTTTAGAGACTTTTGGTCTTTTAGAAAGCTCACTAAAACTTGAACTTTAACCCATCAGAAGAGTGAAATATTAAATTTATTTGTTTCTGGTTTGAATGTTGTCAGCCAAGTCCTGGCTCTATCATCTAATTGTGGTTTCTGATTGGTAGTTAAGAGTATAATTAAAAATAGAAAAATTATTCAATAACTGAAGTTGCAAAATATTTCAAAATGAGATCTATAGGGGGACAAAATAGATGCTTTTGTTGATGAGAATAGATTGGGAAGTATTGCTTTAGAGGAGGGTGAAAAGTTGGGGCTGGTTACCATTTTTTAGGCAAAGTAGCAGGGAGAGGTTCTCCCTCTATGATATTTCCATTATATTCCCAATGGAAATAAATTTATGTTTATAAAAGAGTTCTTAATAGGAGTGTGTCAAGAATAGCCAACATCCACCTCTAGAAGTACAGGAAGATACAAGGTGAATGGAAAAACTAGTAGTTTTTTCTGT